ATGGATTAATTGTATATGCTACATTAATTCTTATGGGAAATATTGCTTCGAAATTAGGCCTTTTTGAATTTAGGCTGACCTGGAACAGATTACAGCCTATATTCGTGGTTCCACTGTACAGTGGATGTTTTGGACAGTGAGATATATGTGAGCAAAACTACAATGTGCTTACATATGTAGATGTGGGAGTTGATAAGTCACAACAAGAATAGACAGGATAAGACTCACTGTAAGAAGCTTAATTTTTCTCACAGAACTAATTGTATCATCAAATGATACAGTAGAAATACTATGTATTTAAGTGGAGACAAATAATTTGGTAATTATCCTTGTATATAAACCACTGTCAGCAGTGGCAGATGAAGTCATAGAACAGACAAGAAAGCCTTGAAAATCCTATACCAAATATCATCCTTGGAGATTTTACCCTTTCAGAAACTAAAATGTTAATACTAGACAGAAGCACAAAATGAACATAACAGCTATTGAGGAAAAAACATGTCACCATGGTTGTTTAACATGTTTATAGATGGGTTTGTGAAAGAAGTGAATGCTAGGGTGTTGGGACAGGTGTGAGAATTCGAAGATAAAGAATGTAGTACAAAGTGGGAGTTAACACAATTGCTTTTTGCCAGTAACACTGCTTCTGGGAGGTTCTGAGGAGAATATACAAAGGTTGGCAGACGAATTTGGGAGGGTATGTAAAAGGAGGAAATGAAAAGTGAACATAGGAAAGAGCAAAGTGATGAGCATAACAAAAAATTTAGATAATGAGAGATTGGATATCGGAATGGAGGGAGGGGGGTATGGATGGATATCAGAATGGAGGGAGGGGGTATGGAGGTAGTGAATGTGCTCAGATATTTGGGAGTAAACTTCGTGGACGGGTCTAAGTGACGTGGCGAACCTTATAATTGACAACGGGAAAAAAGGTGGGTGGTTCATTGAGGCATCTGTGGAGACAAAGATACTAACACACTCTTATAGGGGGAGAGGATGGAGAAAAATAGGATGACTTGGTGGATGTATAATCTGTAGTGGAAGGACGGTATTTATCCTAGGAAAAGTTGGAGAGGAGGGGGGTTAAAGGAGATTTTGTGTGTGAGGGGCTTGGACATCCAACAGGTGTGTGTGAGCATGTTAGAGATAGGAGTGGAGGCAAATGTTTTTTATGGCTTGGTGTACTGTTGGAATTTGAGCAAGGTAACATATGCAAGTGGATTTAGGGAAAATGGTTAACTGGACTTCAGTCCTGGAGATGGGAATTACAGTGCTTGCACTCTGAAGGAGGGGTGGGAAATATTGCAGTTTGGAGGAGCATCTGAACCTTAGTATTGGTGTGCCTCTGGCAAGACAGTGATGGAGTGAGTGATGGTGAAGTGTTTCTTTCTTTTTGGATCACCCTACCTTGGTGAGAGATGCCTGGTGTGTTAAGAAAAAAGTAACAAAAAATCCTAAATATTTCTACACTTAGGCAAAATGAAAAATAAAAAATACAGAATTGGCCCACTATGAACAGAAGGTTCATGCACCGATTGATAGAAAAGATACGACCAAAATTTTGTAAGACCTGAATGAATCACTGTTAAACAATATATTAAGCAAGAGAGTTGAGGATCCATATAGTGTTTTCTTTACATGTGCCCACAATACAAATTGTATATCACAGATATGCACAAATTCCTCAGAATTTGAAAAGGAAATGAAAAATATCAATTGTATGAGCATTTATCATTTTTTGTAGCAAGACCATATATCTACGTAAAATCCCAGAGGCCTTAAAACACAGATCTGGTCTACATAGACTTTGCGTATTTGACAAATGCAATCATGGATTTGTAGCCCACAAAATAAGATCAATAGATGTAACAGGAAAAGTAAGGAAATGGAGGGTAAATTTTGTAACAAATAGAACACGAAAACAGTGGAACCTCGGTTTTCGTATGCCCTGGTTTTTGTAGGATTCGGTTTTTGACAACTTTTTTCATCAAAATTTTGTTCAAGTTTTCGTACATCCGTTCAGTTTTCGTAGAGTTGACAATGGTCTGCCGTACCAAACGCGTCCGCCAGCACGTGCCCACACAAAGCTTCCCACGCATTCTGACTCAGTCTGGCTTGGTTTCTCATTGAATGAGCATTACCCCGCATGTTCATCCGAAACATTTCATAATAATCCATTGTTTTTTGTGCTTGTTTATTGAGTGCAACTGCTAAATAAGCCACCATGGGGGCCAAAGAAAGTTCCAAGTGCCAGTCCTTTGATGAAGAAGGCGAGAAGCGATAGAATTCAAGAGCGAAGTATGAAAGTGGCATACTCATGTCCTCCGATCTCACCAGAATGTATGGGAAGTTCGCATCAATGTTCAGTGACAATGCCTTGTCCCATTTTAGACAAATCTCAGAGACACCAGAAACAGACCTCTCTGGACAGATTTTTTGTGCGACAGGGGTCCAGTGACTCTCAAGCTGGTCCTAGTGCCAGTAAAAGACAAAGAAGGGAAGTAACCCCAGATAGGGCCTTGATACCTGAAGTCCTTATGGAGGGGGATTCCTCTTCCAAACAATACCCTCTCCCCTCCTCGCCGTCTTCCATACGCCAACAAGAGTCTTCAGTAAAGGTAAAATGTGATGTTAAATGTTCATTTATCCATTTCATTAGTCATTTATATTTGTATTTTTCATTGTTTTCTGTATGTAAAACTATAGTTATTGTCTATAAAATGTATTGTTTGTTAATAATTTTGGGTGTCTGGAATGGATTTACATTATTTCTTATGGGAAATATTGCTTCATTTTTCGTATTTTTTCAACCTCAGAGGAGATAAACACCAACCATAGTTTGGTATCTTTTTGCAGGTGATACCAAAATAAGCATGAAAGTTGTATATATTCAAAGTGACCAATGGAGAATATGGGTGTCTGTGGTAACAAATTCCATCTACTCAGATATGGGAAGATTAAGTAGTTAATAGGATCACTGGATACAAAACACAGGAGGACCATCTTATGGAATGAAAGGAACATTTAAGTCTTTGGTATGTCAATTGTCCTATCATTCATAGAACACAAGGCAAATACTGTAACTGGATGGTGTCACTTTTCAAATCACTTGTTCTCTCTTGTTTAAAATATTGTTTGGTGTTGACTCAAGGCAAGAGAGCTAAGAGCTGGAAAAGGTACATGATGGACCCACCTTTAACTCAGACACTCCCTGATTTTTTGACAGCAACTGATTTACTGCACAAACTTTGATGATGCTGCTTCTAGAACTCCTCACAGCCCTTTCTACCTCCCACTTGCTGTCCTCTACCCCTACACTATCCCCTGCACTGTATAACCTAATAATAATCACTCACCCTCCTGCTACCCAATACCCCTGCACCCTTCCCTGCCCTGCTGTGCTGTATGACCCTTGTAGGTTTAGCACTTCATTTTTTTTATTATAATAATGGAAAAGGTACAGAAAGCATTTACTGCTTGCATAGAGCAAATAAAGTATTGAATCCCATAATTATATCCAACATACCAGTATGCAGGTAAAGAACTACATGTCTGACAGTTTTTCGTGGCTTCAAAAATGCCACCTGCCAATATTTTTGACCTTGGCACAACTCTGAGTCTTGAACATCCTCATACCTTTGAAAAAATCATGAGCAACATTATATAACTAGCATAAGGTAAAACAAAAACCAACACCTGTTCCACCACCACGGTTTCTCTATCAGTAAGCAGTGTGTAGAACTAACAGGAAGATGTCTTATTCCAGATTCATGATACTAACAAAGTCAACCAATATAATCAATGTGACTTATTTCCACGTTTTGACGAGTAATATCTGAATATTAAGATTTCATTGTAAATATATGTTTTAGTGACCTTAAGGCGCACACGTGTTACCGACACAAATTACATTGTTTATAAAACCCAGGCCCCTTGTGGTTTAGCGCTTCTTTTTTATTTAATAATATAAAACCCAGGGATAGCCTGAGGAATGGGATCAAGGGTGCTTCACAGGCATCAAGGTACCTTGAAGGGCTTTTTTTTTTTTTTATCAAAAATCGGTTTAGTGCTTTCCTTGATTATAATAGTAATATAAAAACAGGAAACCTGTTTGGAGAATGTAAATATTCGAAAATATTTTTTTTTTTGCTTCGGTTGAGGTACCTTGTAGGTTTAGAGCTTTTTTGATAACTGATGTGGGGGAGGAGCTCTTCATTACAGGAATTAAACTTATTGCTTCCCATTCCATACACTGTACAACTCTTCTGGGCTTAGTGCTTTCCCAAAGATTTTTTTTTATAGTTCTGTGAATATAGATGTACAAGTGGCATGTGCAACAGACGTTTCACCTGCTCAGCAGACTTGTTGAAAAACTGGTGACAACAGGTTGATATGAGGTGATTAGTAGCTCGGTATTTAAGAAAAAAGTTTGTCATCAGTCGGTCAACCCGGGCAAGTGTTCATCTCCATACCCGGGTATACTATTTGGTTCCAGGGGTCAAGTCACAGCTCCTGGTTCCATAGCTTTGACCCCTCAAGGTTCCTTGATGCTGGTGAGGGGCTCTTGATCTAGGGAACGATCTGTGCTCCAGGTCCCTGAATACCTTCCATCCCCCCACAGGCGCTGTATAATCCTATGGGTTTAGCCCCCTCAGGGAAGGTTCCTTGATGTTGGTGAGGGGCTCTTGATTTAGGGAATTGGATCTGTGCTCCAGTTCCCCGAATTAAGCCTGAATTCCTTCCACATCCCCCCCCCCAGGCGCTGTATAATCCTCCGGGTTTAGCGCTTCCCCCTTGATTATAATAATAATAATTTGATCAGTGCTAACCCTAGGCATGAGAATGTAGCCTCAACTTCCCACCGATCAAAGCTATGGAGCATTTACTGCAGCTGATGAATTGATCATTTCATGTCTACTTGCTGGTATTGTATACCATTAATATATGAAGCGAATAATCCTCGGATGAAGCTAAAGAATTGAAGGTTATGTAAAACACAGTTTCAATCACAACTATTTATTCCAAAGCATTTTTTTATTTTTTCTTAGAAGTGGTGCTGTAACAAACAATAACACACAAAGACAAGGTGATTGAACAAGACAGGACAAGAGTATCAAATATTGTTTATGTATATAACTGCCTTGGAGGATTTAGATATTTGTGTATATAATGAGGCTTATTAAATAATGCCATTAGGTCAATGTTTCAGAATTATACATCCAGAGATCATTTGATTTGTTTATAAATAAATTTTTATAAACATGAAATAGTATCCCAGAACAATACCTTGCATAGAAAAAACACATCACTCAAAATTCAAACACTTCTCTACACACAGCAAACTTCTTTGGGAGCATGCAAAAAAAATTATTGCATGGAATATATTATTTAAATAGGTGTAAGTATAGAAAATGGAATGTAGCAAAATGAAATGAGTGTGACCTTAAGACGCCCACTAACAAGATCAGCTAATCTTAGAGTAGATGCGCCAATCCTGAAACAGGCTTTGTCTAAGTGACCCATGTTGGCGTCAGATATTTACAGGTGCTAGACTTTAAGTACTATTAACTACACTGGTTTAAGAGAATCTGACAGGTTGTACCTGCTGTATTCTTTACTTACTAAAATGAAATGAAAAATATTGAGGTATAGTCTGGAATATGTCGGTAAATATAAACTAATAGGAACACAACACTTTTAGAGAAATAAACCTTAAAATTAGTATAAATATACAAACTTTGGAATGAGAATGCAGCCTTACAAATTATGAGATAAATTATTAGGTCTAATTATTTACATACACTAACCATAACTTTGGCATCTAGCCTTAATACTTTGGAGATGAGGACTTAAAGTATAAATAAAGATAAGAAACTACTCAATCCCTGATCCATATAGATTGTCTCGATCTATGGTAGATATGCTGTCATTCTTGGCATATGACCCGACCCGACATTTTAAATTATTGCCATACATTGGCAAACTGGCAAATGAAAAGCTTAGGCACAAGAAAAAAGATTTTGGCCCCTTGTATTTGAACAAAATGTTTGAAACATTGGCAACTAAAGAAAACACTACAAGATAATATTTTGGCAGGTACTGTACAAGCAAACAAATAACAATGATAACGAGTAAATAACAAATCAAATGGGAGACATCACAGACGAAAGGAATGAAATTATATTAACTAAATAATATAACCACCGAGTTGTTATATACATCATATATACAAAACATTAACTTACAGATTACAGAAGTGTCTAGGGCACGTCGTCAAGGCACGAATTATTGAATTTCAAGGCAAACTGTGAATGCATTAACATTGAAAATAAAATATTGAATGTAACCCTTAAGAACAACTACAAGCTATGACATACATTGCACTCAGCTACGGAATGGAGAAGTTATCTTGAAGAGAGGAGACCCAACAGTTTGTAATTTGTCAGTTATGGACGCTCACTTCACACACACTGGACTAAGCTGCTAGTTTATCGGACGCCTAATAATTTTGCAGCATCGTCAGCAGACTTGGACGTTAACAATCTATCCACCACTGCTCGCTTTGTTCCTAGCAGATTGGAGATGAAATCTGTTCCTTCAGTTTCATCCTTGCGTTCCTCCTTGATTTCTGTCTTAATTATTGGAGAGGTTACACATCCATCCTTGTGTTCATCTTCAGAGGTGACTGGAGAGGACGGTCTAACATGATCTGTTGTAATGTGTTGTTTCAGTTCTGCGAGACTCCAGTACCGCTGCAGACAAAACATGCAACTCACCTGTAATAATTTTTTAGATTTGATGAGTAAACAAATACAGTATATGCAGTAAAATATTAAGTTACTTCATGATATATTTAAAGGAAGCTTTAAATACGTAGGGATCATATAGCACCTGGGAGATGGAAGGCAATCAGGTTCTAAGTCCAATTCATTAATTAGAGAGAGCCTCTCCAGAACCAAGGCACTTATTCGTGCTATTGCACGAATAAAGCAAGAAAAATACAGTATAATTTATGTGGCGAACATGTATCAGAACAACAATTTAACAGGTCTTCAAACTTACTCTGTCTGTTGTAGTTGAGTCAGGAACAGGAGGCTCATTATTGTTGTCAGTAGTGATTGGATCTGTGTTGATTATGCTCTGCGCATGCTCTGGGTGAGCTTTACCGAGGTGATGCAGAGCAGCTTCACGTGTTGCTAGAGGAGTCTCACAAACATGGCACCTGAAGGGTCTGGTATCGTCACGCAAAACTGCTGTATCACTTGCTTTCTCATGTTTGAACATTTCATGCTTGCGAAGGCTCTCGAGATTGGTGAAAGCTGCCCCAGGACACTTGACACAGCGGTATGGACGGTCACCTCCCGTTGTGTGGGGAGAATCTGGATGCTTTCTTAATAAGTGCCGATCACAGTTTGATTTTGTGGTGAAAGGAAAGTGACAGACGGGACACAAATAAGGCTTCTGTCCTGTATGGGTTCGGATGTGACGTACAAGAGAACTGGACCACGGGAACTTTCTTTGACAAAATGGACATTTTTGTTTTTGTGGGGCAGAGGAGTAGGCACTGCGTTTTCCATCTTCTGACATCGGCGTGGAAGACGTTGAGTCCTCCTCACCTGGTGGTTCCTCCTCACCCTCGCTGCCAAAAAAAGGGAAGCTCTGACTTGATGCGGTAGACAGCAGCTTGTGAACACTGGCCAGATCTGCTCCACAGTCTTCACGACTTCTCTCATCTGTGCTATTCCCATCAATGTCTTCATCCTCTTCATCCTCATCTTCCTCTTCATCCTCCCCATCTTCCTCTGGGACATCATCAATGACTAATTCACTCTCATCCTCTTCTCTTTGTCTGATTTCTATTCTTTCATCATTAGATTCTTTTTCAATTTTGTTGATGAGCTGCTCTCTTACTGAGTCAGATATGGTATGTGGTGCATCAGCTGCTGATGCTGGTGTGTCCGACTCTGATCTTGAGGTATTGATGCCTCGCGGCCTCTGCTGCCACACGTCTGGATGTTGCTGCTTCATGTGGCGCTCCATATTCGATCGTAGAGTGAACCCTTTATCACATAGATCACATCTCCATGGTCTTTCTGTTCGGTACCTTCGTTGCTTTGGTTTCTTCATTAAAACTGAGTTGCGCATTGTAAAATGCATTACATCTTCATCACTTGGTTTAGATACAGAAGTCGCCAAACTGTCTACTACAGGAGGATCATCGGCTTTACTTTCAACACTACGAATTTCAGGGCGTGGAATGCGCAGTGGATTGCGACGAGCAGCAGCCAGAGCTAGGGCAGAGAGAGGAAATGATGGTGAAGTGTGATGTAAAAACCCTCCAGCTCCACTAAGCAATGCTCCACCTGAGGTGAGCTGCAACCCACGCTTCAGCTCCTTCTGATATTCCTCTAGTAGAGCAGAATCAAACTGATGGACTGGACGTATACCATAAGGGTCCATAAGAATAGGATATTGACTGGATGTAAAAGGGCTACAGAGGGACAGAGGTTGTGGGTACATTGTACTAAGTGGAAAGGGCGGCCGTGGAATCTTGAGCACATCAGAAGTTGGCTCTTGTAAAGACTCTACAGTCTTTTCAACAGTTGCTTCATCCTCTTTCTTCAGTCGTGGCTTTGACAAGTCCTCAGGTTCTACTTGTTCAGTCTTTATATCGCTGATCTCAACGTCTACGTCTTCCTCCTCTTCATCTGCTTCCCTTTCCTTATCCCTTTTAGAATTCATGCTAAGATCTAGGGGAGCATCCTCCGTGTCAGAGAGCAAAGGAGGTACAGGAGTGATGGTAGGCGTGAGAGGACGGGGTGGGACCATGGACAATGGTAAAGATGGCTTGTGTGGAAATGCTATGGGCAAAGAAACTGGAGGTGGCTGATGAGGAGTGCTTAGAGGCATCGCCATGGGTAACTTAGAAAAGTTAAGGAGAGACTCTACAGGCGTGAGGTCAGGATGCTCGTGACGATCCTCCAGTGAGGAACGGTTCACTACGAGCTGCTCAAGTGTGGGTCCTGAAGCAGCCTCAGCATGTTGCTGGATTACATGACGCATCACATCATTTTCAGATGAGAAGGCACCTCCGCATAACTTGCAGGAGTAAGGTTTAGTCATTCCTTCCGGGTGGGAGGAACGTATGTGATCCCGCAGGACAGAACGTGCCTTGCAGTCAATGTGACAAATATGACAGACAGTATCGAGGGAATGATCACTGCTTGCCCCTTCCTCTTGTGGAATGAAGTTCATGCAGCTCTTTACCTCATCTCGTGACTGGCGCCCATGAATATTTTTAATATGACGTTCACAATTGGCTTTTGTGGTGAAGGCTAAGTTGCATAAGTTGCATTCATATGGGGTATCGCCTTTGTGACTCTTCATATGCTCTTTCAAAGTGTTTTTGTCATTACTAAAGAAAGAACAAAGGTTGCAACGATAAGGGGGCGCTACCATGTGCACCAAATTATGGGACTTAAGTTTACGTAAATTTGCAAAGATTTCTTTGCACAAGCGGCATGGATACTGGCCATTTAATTTCATATCACGATATTCACGTGCAAACTGTTCATCGTGAGAGAGAACAGGGGCAGTAGACACCAGGGGAGAGACACTACTGGTAGTGGTAGTTGTAGCAGCAATTCTACCAGCTGTTGGATGCTCTGGTGATGCTTTAGCAGAGTCCGCAGGTGCAGGAGAATGCTGACCTGGGGGTGGCATTCCTAGTGGGGGCCTCAAACCCCCAAGGAAGGAAGTTTCCATTGTTGCACCAACGGGCGTAGACGTTACGTCACGCTTCTGCTTGTTGAGTAGGTCCAGCACAGCCAAGAAGCTCTCCTTACGAGGTTGAGGTTCCTCGCACAAATGGCGTTGGTGGTGGTGAGCCAACTCTGCCAAGTTTGAGAATGTCAGGTCACACCGTAGACACCTAAGGGGAGGCGGGGGAGCTGAGGATGCTGCTGCATGCTCTCGCATATGCATCAGCCATGAGTCTGCACAGGGAAAGGTAATGTTACACATCTGACATCTGTGGACACCGATACCCTCGCCTGGGTGCTGCTGTTGTCGACTGCTCGCCTCACAAATTTCTTTGGCAATGAGTGGAAATTTAGAAGTGGAGAAGTCTGTGAGTGTGAGGTCGAGCTGAGGTGGAGAGACTGTAGCTGTGGGGTGGACCATAGAGTTGTGTAGATGCAGGGCACGGTAGTTTTTAAAACCCACTTGGCAGGTGGTGCAGGCCACCTGGTACTCGGGATGGATGTTCTCCACGTGTTGCTCGAGAACGTGTTGGCTGGGTTGTTCCACTCCACATGCTGGACACGCCAATTCCTCCTCTGCTTCACCAAGACGCACAGTCTTGGACGACACCACGTTATCCTCGTCGTCTAGACGTCGCTTGCAGGGCGACGACGAGCTTTCTTCCGATCCTAAATCGCTCTCCCCAGTGTCTGAGCCTGGCCCTCCACCGCCGCTGCCTCCATTGCGGTAGTGGCCGCGGATGTGGCGATGCATGTTACCATTGGTGGTGAAGTGTGTGCCGCATATGTGACAACGGAACGGCCGCTCTCCTGAATGAACGAGCATGTGTCTATCCAGAGAGCTGTTGCTGCTTAATTGTTTCTTGCAGATTCCGCAGCAGTAGACTTTGGTGCCATTATCAGTCTCGAGGACGTGGTTGTGCTTGCGGATGTGTTGAGTAAATTCATGCTGGGAAGAGTGCACTTCTTGGCATACTGGACAGGCGAAGCTACCAGCCACGCCCGCCTCGCTCTCACCCTCGCTCCCACATTCCGTCTGCAACAAAAAGAAAAACCATTATTGTGGGCTGGCCACCGCCACGGCGCCCCCTGACCCCGCCACACCGCACGCCAACAGACGGCAGGCGCGACCCTCTTCATCACGCCCAACTGCAACACCACACCACACACACCACACACACACACACACACACACACACACACACACACACACACACACACACACACATTGTTTTCACCTCAATATTCCCATTCCCTCTCTCTAACCACTGAAAAGCCTCAATTACTAACAAACTAAAAATAAACTAATGACGAATATTTTATGAATAATACAAGCCTACTTTTACTGGCAGAGTGAAGGCAGCTTAAGCTTTTCCGGACTGTCTAATGTGAGAATATATTATTGCATTCACAGCTAAACACTAAACCTGGGAAATGAAATGGGTGGGGGATAATCAGGTTTGATCCAATTCCTTGTACAGAGCCCCTTGCTACATCAAGGCAGTCTCCCGGAAGGGCTCAACAAGGTGAAAAAATCGTGAATATTGTGTACACTTATGGACGGGTAGAAAACAGTGTTACTCTAAGTGGTCAGCTTCTGTACTATAATATTACAAATGTCTAGAGAAGATCGCTTAAACATCCCCGTAGTAGGATTCACCCCTGAGAACTTCCCCTCCCACAAACTCCTTTACCTCAGGTGCAAGGATGTGAGGGAGGGGACTGCAAGACGAAGAAGAGGATGAAGAGCAACCTGGGGGGAAGGGGGTGATGAAAGAAGGTAGGAGGGAACAAGAGAGGGGGGGGATGGAGTAAGGGAAGAAGTTGGGGGATTCGCACAAGTGTAGCCCGAGGGTGTGAGCGTCTGCCCTGAGGCTCCTGGTGTCTCTTGCTTCCCACCTCTCTCACTGCCCTCCCCCTCTTCCCCTCCTGTAACAGCCCCTTCCACACACATTCGCCCCAACACACTAGAACCTTGCATAACACTCGCTTTTCCCCAATACGTGTGCTTTCCCAACACCCAAATCTTCTAAACAACCCCCTCCCACTAACTCATGCATGTAAATTAACTTTGTTTTTTAAAAACATCAAACACGCACCCAACACCCGCTCCTCAACAAGTGCCTATTTCTTTCTCACTACACGGTGCTACTCAGCACTAGTAATAAACTCATATTAGCCAACACTGGTTTGCCTTAAATTTGTCAAACAAATGATGACATCGTGCTTAAACTAAGTACATTTTTGTTTCAGATATCTTTTAAAGAGAAAATATATATTGCCTTCAGAACCTCAGTTTTAAGTTAAAAATTATTATGAATTCTATTTAGTTTTCTCTCTCTTTGAAGTACAGTCTTTTTGCATTCGTGTCATTACTGTATCTGTAGCATGTGTAGTTTCCTTCGGGTTGAAGAATAGCTAAGAGACTGAAATAATGTCAGATCACTTATCGTTTTGAGAACAAAGCAAACTCATCAAAAGCCAGGAAAGGTTGAATTATGATATCTTTGAAAACAAAGATGCCACGCCAATGGTCTTTCTAATCACTTGTACTAACACACGTCTATACTGTTCTGCATTCACAGCTTCTCCTCACGTTAGGATGCCTTGGAATCCGATCTCAGGATTAACTTTAAGAGGATAAAGCCTCCTATTTCAGCACTACCCTTCTAGCAGTTTGGTAGTTTAAAGAATACAAGGCCTCTAAGGTGTCTTGTAGTAACGTGTTCCAACACTGCCAGTATGTTGAATCTTAGCAAAAGATTATGGGTCAAGGTATATTCGCGAGTACCACACACTGAATGACCCCACAGGAGTTTAACGCTTCATGAAATCCTATTCTGCATTCAGAGCTGCTGTCAATGTAGAATAAATAAAACTTCTAGACTACTGGGAAAAACTCAGCATTCGCAAAGAAAAAAAAATAGTATATAATTATTCAAATATATAACAATAATATAATCATTAAGCTCTAAACCCATAATGTACATACGCTGACACACACACACACACACATTCATACATATAAACTAGGATAGATTCTATAATCTACACACTACCGATATTATAACCCTTAGAATATATGATAGGAAGTGTAGAATATGTCGAGAGAATAGAAGGGCTGCCATAGGCAGAACACGATAACATCCATGGCCAGAGACTCTTCAACCTTCTACTAACAGATATAAGAACTGTTGCCGGAACAAAAGGTACTAGAAATCATAGGAAACTGATGAAGTTTTCTGCAGTTGGTGCAGGATCAGCCAAGTTAGTATGGCTGTGTAGTCAACATGTTGTCGAGGCATTCAACGTGGGAGTCTGACTTCTGTCCGGGCTGTGAGAAAACTCTGGAGACAGGTGATTCTACAGCAATCGTATTGTTAGATAAAAGGACACAAGTGCAATTAATGTGACATTTTATTGTGGCAACGTTTTCGTTCTTGCCAAAGCTCCTGGAAAGCGAAACGTTGCCACAATAAAATGTCACATTAGCTGCACTTGTGTCCTTTTATCTAACATTGTCGGTAATTCTACCAACATTAATACAATCATATTACTGATGGCTTTCCATACCGATAAGATGATGAATTAGACACGCAAAACTAGGGTTCTCTCTATTGCCAAAACGTTTCGCCTGCACAAGCTTCTTCAGTCAAATACAGGGGAATATAACAGTGAAGGCAGTACAAAGTAACAGTTTTGATGCGATCAGTCCCTCAGCCTGGGTAGGCGGTCAGTCCCTTAAGCCTGATGGATTGATCACATCAAAACTACTATATCCAGTGATATATTCACCTGTACTCGACTGAAGAAGCCTATTGTATAGGCGAAACGTTTCTGCAATAGATAACCAAGTGTTGCACATTTCTCTTATTGACAACAATTTTTTTTTTTTAGTTTTAATCCACTGATAAATAAAATTTAATTTTCAATCACCATTATGTTCACAAGACCCCGACTGTCTCGTCCAATTCTGCACTTACTGCCAGGACAACTTTTACTTATTATTGTCTATAAAATTCTTCTAAAATCTGAGATACTGTACATAAATACTTTTAACCGAGATACATAAAATATCAAAATTGCTTGAATTAATGTTACCTAATCTTCATGAAGTGTTCAAACAACCACAACCTGTCGGTATTTTATACCATTTTAATGTTCAACCACAACAATGTAAATATCATATGAAGGCAAAAGCAATACCGATGTGGATGTGGCCAGTAGCCGACTCAAGTTAACACTGAACGTTGTCAAGAGTAGTGCTTGTGTATGTCAGCCGTCTTGTATTTTAACAAATAACGTTAGTTTTTCAACGCATTACATCACACGAGTTTCTTCATGCTCCTAACACAGAAAACAGAAGCTTCTGCAAACGTACAGTATATAATCGAAGCACAATAAGTGATTAGCATGTTCTTTTTTTTTCAACGCTCCACAAGACTTTACTAACCGAACCTCTCCCCGCTTCATCCCCCCCCCCCGGAAAAAAAAGGAATAAACTAGGAGGTTATCTCATAGTATCGCAGAGCAGATAAACACACACACACGACGCACTAATATGTAAACACGCTGGAAAACAAACGCTGGATATGAGGACGGGCTGGGAAGTGTTTTGTCATAATTCATGTGTACCACTGTACTGTGTTGGCCTCAAGCTCTGGCTCCACCTCACAGCCACATTTGGAATTCTTATAATTATGAATGAGGTCGATATTATCAAACAAACAAGGTTCTAATTTCTTAACATAGTCACTGATAGTTCAAATAACATTTAAAATAAATAATCTGTAGTAATCCAAAGTTTAAAGCAGTAATCACAATTCAGCTGTACACAGTCAACCATAAAGGCTCTCAAATGGAATACCAAATTGACACCGAAACACAATAATCCTGAGAGCCAACCACTCTGAACTGATTTCATTGCACTGGCTGCCGCTCAACAAGTGTATCGCCATATATCACATCATACACGGGGCATTCACAAGAGAAAAATCTGCAAAGTTCTTAAGTGTATTTCCATGAGGGTTCTTACCATGTTAATACACATGGATAGCACTTGCGAGAACCCCGGTGGGACAAGACGAGTTAAGTAGTACCCCAGCACCATCGATACACTTGCTAGCTATGGAGATAGTGTGTGGCACCACCTCATCTTAGCAGCAGTGGAGGTGCACTAAGCCAGTGTAGCGGACACGGGCGCTGCTTCACCCTCTGCGGGGCGTGGCAGTGATTTCAACGCGCCAGTGTCCGTTGGCAGTGACCAGCAGACGGCACTGAAGGAGGGAAGAGAACGGCTAGGGGAGGAGCTGCCCTTACCTCTATTTTGTGGACCTTCGTTGCTTTGCGCTTCTTGGCACCCAAAAGTGGTTCCTGATTGGTCAGTAAGTGTGAGTCTGGGCTGACCAAGTGTGTGTCTGGCCTCTCAATGGTGGAGTGAAGACGCGCTGCGTTATGATTGGTGGGTTCAGCAGCCATGTGGGCGGAGTCTGGGGTGGGGGGAGCCTCTGGTGATGGGGGGGTGGAGCCGTGGGTGGATCCTCTGTTGGGGTCACACTCCGCCCTCAGGGGGGACGAGCCTGGGGGGGTCAACGTGCCCTTAGGCTCCGGAGACGCTGTTGCTGCTGCCATGTCTGTCTCGCCTGAGAAAGAGAGATTCCCACGTTATTCTTTGCTCTGGGAGAGGAGAGACAGAATATATTATTTCCCATTTAAATGTGGGTCTAAACACACAAATATATATATATATATATATATATATATATATATATATATATATATATATATATATATATATATATATATATTATATATTATATATATATAGAAAATAAATGAAGCACAAAACAGTAATGAGCTCAAAGAATAAAAAAAGTAATGAACTGAAAGAAGTTTCAGCCACGTTATTACTCATTTAATGTACATACAGCACATGTTACTGTAGCGACCAGTGAAGACGCGGGGCCTGGAGCTATAAATCGACTCTTGCAGCCACAATTAGGTGAGCACAGCATACCCACGTTTATTATGTACACAGCATGCCCAAATATATTACGTACACACCACACGTGTACATGTATTTACAGCACGCCCCCGTACATAAATATACACATTACGAACCACACGTATATATGTACACCAAACGTCAGAATGTACACATGCACTGTGCACCCATGGATAATGTACACACGTACACTGCGTTCTCGGATAACGTACATACATGAATAATGTACAAACGTACATCCACGCACAAGTAATTACATTGTCGTCCTTTTCACCCATAGGTACAATACAAGTCGAATTTCCCGAACAAAAATTACAAAACTTTACTCGAGGATTTAGATATGTACGTAAAGTTAGATATTTAAATGATTAATTTGTAGTAAAACTTAGCAGCATAACCTAGCAAATATTTACTTAGTCTAATGTGATTATTATATATATATATATATTATATATATATATATATATATATATATATATATATATACACACAACACACTCATGTTTGTTTTCTATCAATGTATTCTGTCTATTAATAAGGTACATATATAAAATATAGGGGGTGGTAGAAGAAAATATTCAAACAGCTCCGGGGAAAACCTTAAACGTTCATTGTCTTCTCTGAGGATGAGGGTCCCCAGTAAAGTTCTAGAGGTGGTACCTCCCTACATATTATATATATATATATATATATATATATATATATATATATATATATATATATATATATAATCATTAACCGATACATCAGTAAAGCAATACAATAGTTGGGTACAAACAAGAATAGAGTAAAAAAAAATAAAAGGATACATTCAAGAACTGGATGCAATAATTTATACAAAAAGCTGAATAAAACAATAATTGGCTGGCTACAATCATTTATAAACAAACTTAATACAAGACTTAGATACACACAAGAACTGGATACAACACTAGCTGGATATACAATAATAATTATATACAAGGATTAAATACACGTAAGTGGAGATATAGTTGGGTACACAAGAACCGATTCAATACAAGCGACACAAGACCTGAGCACTACACAAGACCTGAGCACTACACAAGACCTGAGCACTACACAAGACCTGAGCACTACACAAGACCTGTACATTACACAAGACCTGAGCACTACACAAGACCTGAGCACTACACTAGACCTGAGCACTACACAAGACCTGAGCATTACACAAGACCTGAGCACTACACAAGACCTGAGCATTACACAAGACCTGAGCACTACACAAGACCTGAGCACTACACAAGACTCTGAAGCACTACACAAGACCTGAGCACTACACAAGACCTGAGCACTACACAAGACCTGAGCACTACACAAGACCTGAGCACTACACAAGACCTGAGCACTACACAAGACCTGAGCACTACACAAGACCTGAGCATTACACAAGACCTGAGCACTACACAAGACCTGAGCACTACACAAGACCTGAGCACTACACAAGACCTGAGCACTACACAAGACCTGAGCACTACACAAGACCTGAGCACTACACAAGACCTGAGCACTACACAAGACCTGAGCACTACACAAGACCTGAGCACTACACAATGGCATCACAGACTGAGCACTACACAAGACCTGAGCACTACACAAGACCTGAGCATACACAAGACCTGGAGACACTTACACAAGACCTGAGCATTACACAAGACCTGAGCACTACACAAGACCTGAGCACTACACAAGACCTGAGCATTACACAAGACCTGAGCATTACACAAGACCTGAGCATTACACAAGACCTGAGCACTACACAAGACCTGAGCATTACACAAGACCTGAGCACTACACAAGACCTGAGCATACACAAGAACCTGAGCATACAAAGACCTGAGCATACACAAGACCTGAGCATTACACAAGACCTGAGCACTACAAAAAACCTGAGCATTACACAAGACCTGAGCATTACACACAAAACCTGAGCATTACACAAGACCTGAGCACTACACAAGACCTGAGCACTACACAAGACCTGAGCCCTACACAAACTGAGCATACACAAGACTGAGCATTACACAAGACTGAGCACTACACAAGACCTGAGCATTACACAAGACCTGAGCATTACACAAGACCTGAGCATTACACAAGACCTGAGCACTACACAAAAAACTGAGCACTACACAAAAAACTGAGCACTACACAAGAACTGAGCACTACACAAGACCTGAGCACTACACAAGAACTGAGCACTACACAAAAAACTGAGCACTACCACAAGACCTGAGCATACACAAAACTGAGCACTACACACAAAACTGAGCACTACACAAAAAACTGAGCACTACACAAGAACTGAGCATACACAAAACTGAGTACACAACTACAAAAAACCTGAGCACTACACAAAATGAGACTACACAAGAATGAGCACTACACAAAAACTGAGCACTACACACAAGAATCTGAGCACTACACAAATAACTGAGACATACACTAAAAAACTGAGCACTATCACAAAAAATGAAACTAACAAACACACTGAGCACTACACAATAAAACTACTAGCTACACAAAACCTGATCACTACACTACAGAAAAACTAAGCATACACACACGAGGTGAGCACTACACACAAGAATCGAGTACACAAAGTAACGGAGTACACTAGTAACACTACACGAACGCCAACTCTGGTTATACACCATTATTATTATAATCAAAACTAAGTGCTAAATAGTTATACACCAGATCTCGCACATTTCTACGCGCATCTGCAGCCCCTCTATAATAATGCTATTAAATATAAACACCTACTATAGTAGAAATGGATCATTCATAAGTAAATGAATTATATTTTAATGAATCTAAGGATCAGCTTCTAAAAGCACTATAGTTATTTAAAATTAAGGTTAAAACAGGAAAATTAAAAACTTTTATTCATTAATTCGCTATACAACTCAACTCATCGGTCACTAACGCTAAAGGATAGTACTGAAAAATATTAACAAAACATTATTTTATCTAGTTTTGAAGGTGGAAGGTATAAAATTATCTTTATTGGGTACGTTTCGGCCCTGGAACTTCGGTCACTTTAAATAATTTGGTGTGAGCAAGGTCCGAGGACAAACGTGAGCAATGAAGATGACGTAAGTATATACACCTGTCTTTTCATCCTTCCTGGTTATATCTTAAGAATTATGTATTGCTCTATTACATAATCAATTACATTATCTAAGGAGTTTTCCTAATATATTGAAACGCATTTTACTAAGTAAGTTAACATCAGTAACTCTTCAGCAGATCACCTTCCCTATACCAATGTTTAATAAACACTGAGCTAATTAAAACCTCGTAGCTGATAAACACTGGCAAAATGTTAGTTACTTGAGGTACAACAACAGGTAGCAGAGGAAGAGTACTCCTAAGTGTTGACGCAACCGTTGCAAATATTAAACAATTGTATAATAATGAAGTAGTGAAAATGACGAGTATATCTCATTATTATATTCATGGGGAAACACTAAACCAGGACGGGCATGATCGTGCTCGTGTAGTGACAAAAAGGTAAATGTACTTACAGAATATGGTGCCGTGGTCTGGAGAGGGTATGACACCGAAGATTTTGTGACGATACTCTTCTGCCGACACCACCATGTCTATACACTTACTAGAGTAATTAAAGCTTCAACCAAAACACAACTTGATGTCTACTATAAATAATGCTACTTAATAGCGTCTTTGGTGTACAGCACTAGACAGCAGTTTATACTTTCCACTAGAAAGCACTACTGGCTACGTTCACTAGTTGCACTAAATTAACCTTGGTCAAGTATTAACAACCATTTCACTGGACGGTACTGGTGGTTCCACCCTCCTCACTAGGGCAGAGATACGGACTCTGGGTGAGCAAAGACGCCGTGTATGACTAGTTACATTGGTTGTGAGGAACTGAGATGACGACCCGCCTCTCCCGCTATATATACCCTCCCCCACCTCCCCAATTACCACTCATCATCTATTTCATTTTATCAGCTTATTCTTGGGTATAAAGGATATAAAAGCATATTTGACAGACAATACGATCTTCATTATTATATTAACAATGAATACAAAGTTATTATTGTTGAGTTAATGCCTAAAAATTATGTTGAATATGGCAGTGGTGGGCAATTGCTCACCATCCGACCGAGCAGACCATCCAAGGGGCGGAGTAAGCAGCTCTCAGGCTGACATCATAAGCTGGTATTTACATCTAAATTTTCACCAAAATAATTTTTTTTTATTATAAATAAATAAATATTTTTCCTCTTTAAAACATAACCATATCCATTTCTACCTGAAAAATATAGTCAAAACTCCACTGAAAGAAATCAGCTTTAAAAAACGAGGTGTGTTAAACGGTCCAGCTGATGCTAACAATAGGACAAACACGTTTCAGTGATAAAGATGGAGTAATTATTGCGTTAGGTTAGAGCAAGACAAAGGGGAAGGAGGCAGGATAAGCTTGAGTTGGTGGTTGCGACGCCACACTGTCTACCATAACCAACTTATTGCCACACATCACTACATCACTCGTTTCCTGTCAACCATTCTTAAACACGTAAATGTTTAACGCTGACTAAAATCCCTTTACTCAGAACTAAGCATAACACTGTCCTCCATTGTTTTCTTTCATCCGCAGATTATTAAACGGGTTATAAAACGGTGGATTTTGGTCCATTTTTTTTCGACTTTGAAGCAGGTGTGAGCGACGATGTTATCATCTCCCAAGTCTCAAGGTTCTATGTGTGTACTCGCCTATTTGTGGATGCAGGGGTCGAGACTCAGCTCCTGGCCCCGCCTCTTCACTGACCGCTACTGTACTGTCCTTCCTCTCCCTGCTCCATGAGCGTTAACATACCTAGTCTTAAAACTATGTATGGTGCCTGCCTCCACTACATCACTTGCCAGACTATTCCACTTCCTAATAACTGTGTGTGTGTGTGTGTGTGTGTGTGTGTGTGTGTGTGTGTGTGTGTGTGTGTGTGTGTGTGTGTGTATGTGTATGTACTCACCTAACTGTGGTTGCAGGGGTCGATTCAGAGCTCCTGGCCCCGCCTCTTCACACTCTCCCTGATCCATGAGCTTTATCTATCGTATCTCTTCTTAAAGCTGTGTATGGATCCTGCCTCCACTACATCACTCTCCAGACTGTTCTACTTCCTGACAACTCTGTGACTGAAGAAATACTTCCTAACATCCCTGTGACTCATCTGAGTTTTCAACTTCCAGTTGTGTCCCCTTGTTGCTGTGTCCCATTTCTGAAACATCTTGTCCCTATCCACCTTGTCAATTCCTCTCAGTATTTTATGTCATTATCATGTCCCATCTATCTCTCCTGTCCTTCAGTGTCGTCAGGTTGATTTCCTTTAACCTCTCGTAGGACATACCCCTTAGCTCCGGGACTAGCCTTGTTGCAAACCTTTGCACTTTCTCTAATTTCCTTACGTGCCTGACAAGTGTGGGTTCCATACTGGTACTGTATACTCCAATATGGGCCTGACGTACACAGTATACAGAGTCTTGAACGATTCCTTACTAAGGTGTCGAAACGCTATTCTTAGGTTTGCCAGGAGCCCATATACTGCAGCAGTTATTTGGTTGATGTACACCTCAGGAGATGTGCTCGGTATTATACTCACCCCAAGATCCTTGTCCTTGAGTGAGGCTTACAGTCTTTGGCTCCCTAGTCTATACTGTCTGCGGTATTCTTTGCCCTTCCCCAGTCTTCATGACTTTGCACTTGGTGGGGTTAATTAAGCTCCAGTGTAAGTTGCTGGACCAAGCTTGCAGCCTGTCCAGAGCCCTTTCTGATCCTCGTCTGACTGAATTCTCCTCAATAGCTTCACACCATCTGCAAATAGGGACACTTCTGAATCTTTCCTTTCACCAGAAACAGAACTGGTCCTAGAACTAACCCCTGTGGAACCCCGCTTGTCACAGGCGCCCACTCTGGCACCTGCAATGCATCTCCTGTTATACCTGCGTGATCCTCTAGCTTTTGCACTAATCTCATGTGTTGAACTGTGTCAAAAGCCTTCTTACAGTCCAAGAAAATGCAATCTACCCACCCCTCTCTTTTTTCTTGTCTTACTTCAGTCACCTTATCGTAAAACTCCAGGTTTGTGACGAAGGTTTACCCTTCCCTGAAAACATGCTCGTTGTCGTGTATTAGCTCATTCCATTCAAGGTGCTCCATCACTCTTCTGATAATCTTCTCTATGACCTTGCATACTATACATGTCAGTGACACTGGTCTATAGTTTAATGCCGCGTGTCTTTCTTAAAAATTGCGACTACATTTGCTGTCTTCCACACCCAAGGTAGTCGCCCTGTTTCGATAGATGTGTTGAAGATTGTTGCTAGAGGCACACACAACGCCTTTCCTCCCTCTCTCAGGACCCACGGAAAGATGTCCGGCCCCATCGCCTTTGAGGTATCTAGTTCACTCAGCAGTCTTTTCTCCTCCTCGGTTTTGTGTTTTGTGTCCAGCACTTATTGGTGTACTCCACCATTCAGGCTTTCTGGAATCCTTTCCGTCTCCACTAAAAACACTTCCTTAACTCTCATGCTGAGCTCTTCACATACTTCTCGGTCGTTTCTTGTGATCTCCTCTCCTTCCTTCCTTTCTCAGCCTGATTACCTGGGCCTTTCTAATGTTTTGGTTGTGATGGACTGTACAACAGCGTCATGTCAGATTTGCCTTTCCATGCAAAGTCATTTTCACACAGTCGCTGGGTCTCCCTTCTTATCTGTGTATATTTGGTTGTATGTGTGTGTGTGGGTGTGTGTTTGTGTGTGGGTGTTGTGTTTTGGTGTGTGTGGTGTGTGTGTGTGTGTGTGTTTTTGGTTTGGGTTTTTTTTTTTCCCCAGGGGGGGGGGTTTGACCCATGCTCTGGCCCGCCTTTCCCTGTGTATAGGTCCTCCCCCCTGCCTGGCTTTATAAACCCCGCTTAAAATATGAGGGCCCGCCTCCACAATACCCCCAAAATTCCATTCTGACACTTTTGGGGTGAAGAAAACTTCCTAACATCCCTTTGGGGATTATCTTTTGTCTTCAGCTTCCAACTGTGCCCCTTGTTACTGTGCCCAATTCTTTTGGAACCCCTTTGTTTTGTCCACCCTGTAAAACCCCTTCTCAGTATTTTGTATGTCGTTATCATGTCCCCCCTATCTCTCCTGTCCCCCAGTGTCTTTCGGGTTTTAAATTTCCCTTAACCTTTTTCCTCGTAGGACATACCTCTTAGCTCGGGGAAATAGTCTTTTTTGAAACCCTTTGCACTTTCTTTTGTTTCTTTACGTGCTTGGGCTAGGTTTTGGGGTTCCAAAAATGGTCCCGCATATTTTAAATTTGGGGCCCCAAAAAAAAGGGTTACACGGTTTTGTACAGGATTAAATTGATTCCTTATTAAATGTCGGAATGCTTTTTCTGAGGTTTGCTGGGCCCGCCCATATGGCGCAGTTTTTTTTTGGTTGATTTTGCGCCTTCCCAGGAGATGTGCCTGGGGGTTTTATAAACCCCAAGTTTTTTTTCCTTAAAGTAAAGGGTTTGTGGGTCTTGACCCCTAAAATTGTCCCCGTTGCGGTCTTTTTTGGGCCCTTTTCCCCCAAATCTTCATGACTTTGCCCCTTGGGGGGATTGAACTCGGGAGCCAATTGTTTTACCAGGTCTGCAGCTGCCCCGATCCCTTTGTAGTTCTGCCTGGTTTTTGGGATGGGAGTGAATTTTTTCCCTCATCAACTTCCGTCATCTGCAAAACAGGGACACCTCAGAGTTTTTCCCTTCCGGGTCTTGTCGCCCCAAATTTTCCAAAAAACGGGCACTGGCTAGGACTGCCCCCTGGGGGACCCGTGGTTTCCAGGTGCCCACTCGGGCACCTCGCCATTTCCAGGGACTCGTGTGTGTGTGTGTGGTGGGTGTGTGTTTTGTGTGGGTGTGCTTTGTGTGTGTGTGTTTACTCACCTAGTTGTGATTGCAGAGATCGATTCCAGCTCCTGGCCCCGCCCTTTTGGGGGGGGCCCCCCCCTTTTTTTTTTTAAACCCCCCTTTTTTTTTTTGGGGTTTTTTTTCCCCCCAAAAACCCCAAAACCCAAAAACCCCAAAAAACCCCCCCTTTTTTTCCTTTTAATTCCCCCCCCTGTGCCCCCTTTTTTCCCTTTTTTTAAAAAACCCCCCCCCTTTTTTTTTTTTTTTTTTTTTAATTTTTTAAAATTTTTTTCTTTTTTTTTTTTTTTTTTTTTTTTTTTTTTTTTTTTTTTTTTTCCCCCCCCCCCCCTTTTCCCCCCCCCCCCCCCCCTTTCTTTTTTTTTTTTTTTTTCCAAATTTTCCCCTTTTTAAAGGGGGTAACCAAAAAATTTTTTTTTTTTTTTTTTTGGGGGGGGCCCCTTTTTTTTTAAAGGGGGGTTTTGGGGAAGGGTTTGGGGTTTTAAAGGTTTTAACCCCCCTAAGGGGGTTTTTCCCCCCAAGGGGTTTTTTTTGGGGAAAAATTTTTTTTTTTTCCCTTTTCCCCCTTTTTTTGGGGGGGTTTTAGGTTTCCCCCAAAAAAGGGGGGGGGTTTTTTTTTTTTTTTTTTTTCCCTTTTTTTTTTTAAAAAATTTTTCCCGGGCCCCGCCCCCCCTCTTCGTGGCCGTACTAGGTCACTTTTCCCCCGTTTTCCTAACTTATATCCTTTTCTTTAAAAGAAGTATGGACTTCCTCCCTACATCACTTCCCCAACTATTCCCCTCCAGAAAATTGTCCTGGAAAAAAAATTTCCCTCTCCCCGTTTTTTTTGGGTTATTAATGTCCCCCTTTTTTTTTTTTTCTTTTTTTTGTTTTTTTTGTTTTTCGTTTTTAATTTTTTTTTCCCCCCCCCTTCTTCCCCCCCGCCCCCCCCCTCTCTGTCCTCAGGTCGA